AGACTAAAGTTTGAGCAGCTCCCAGTATGGCATCTGGGGTAAAATCAGAGGTGGTGGTGTATAGGTTAGTGGACTAAATGGAACCCAGTCTAATCCTAAGCCAGTTAGGTCTCTAAGTTGAACTCAAACTCTATGTGGCACCATCAGTCATCCGCAATGTGGACTAAATCAGCAAACTCCACTAAGTGGAGCCGGTACACTGGACATGGGGGAGCAGCTAAAGGAACAACCCTCTGGAAATGGTGCTGAGGACTGGAAGTAGAAAAGGGATTTCACTATGGAATTGTAGGCTAAAGAAAGGACCAAGGACTTTGTACTCCAGATAGAACCATCTTCCTTTCCAAGCTGACCCACTAAAAAGGACACTCGAGAGAGAACAGCAACAGGCAAAAAGCTTTTCATTTCCTTTTGTTGATATTACTTTTTTTTTTTTTAAGATTTATTTATTCATATAGACTGAGGTACAGCCCAGAGATGCGGAGGGTGAGAGGATTCACCAGGGACAGAGCAGGAAGCAGAACAGGCAGATCGATGAAGTACACTGCTGAGGGGAGCAGCGGGCGGGTCAGGAGAGGTCTCCTCCCAGGCAGGCGGGAATTGAACTCATGCGGAAGTGGCTTAAGCTTCTTAGTGCTTTAACCCGCTGCGCCACCAGGGAGGGCCCTGTTGATATTACTTTTACTGGAAAAGTTTCTGAGAACTGAGGACTTTGTTCTTGTATCAATAAATATTTATTCAGCACCTGCTATGTGGAGACACTGGACTAAAAGCTGGTGCACAGAATAAACAAAACAAACATGTATTATAACTCTAGTAGGTGGTGGTGGTGGACTGGAAATAGGGAAAAGTTAAACCACCAAACCCCAGTAAGTGGGAAATCATAAAATTTCCAGTCAAGTCATAAGACATATTTCAAGAAACACTCCCAGCAAGCATCGAGTACTTCTCACTTTAGCCAAATTTGAACTTAGCAGAGTTTTTTTTTGGTCGTTGTGTCCAATGTCTATCTGACTCCTACTGTCAAAATGGGGGAAAGAACTAGTTAAGATGAAGTTCATATTTTGAAACAGAAGTGTTAAAATGATCAAAATTTTCAGGCGTGCTTTGAGAAACAAAATATGGGTATTACAACATGATAATTTATGATACTTTCTACAAATTGCTGTATTTCATCTCAACTCAGATTTTCAAAATATCACATTTATGTAAAAAACAAAATAACAAACACTTTAAGAAAAAAAGAAATGCCTGTATAAAATTATGCCACCTTGAATCAGCATTTTAAAACGTTTCCCTCTTTCTATCATTACTCAATGACATGTGTGGGTCTTATTTACATTTTAAACATAATTAAGCCCGAATACAAGCCCTAATATAGCAACTTCCCTATATGTCAGTGATTTCATTTCCTATGGTCTTTAGTTCACAGAAAAAAAAAAATGTTGTGACTTAAAGAGATATCCTTAATTATAAATATTGGGACTTTCTGACTGGTTTTAATATAAACCTAACAAAGAAATATATAAAGCTTTGTATCATAAATTTAACAAAGAAAATAAATAAGGTTAAGTAAACTGGGCCCTCCCTGGTGGTGCAGCGGGTTAAAGCGCAGCACTGAGAAGCTAAAGCCATTTCAGCATGAGTTCAATCCCTGCCTGCCCTGGAGGTGACCCACATGGCTGGCAGACCTCTCCTGACCCACCCGCTGCTCCCCTCAGCAGTGTACTTCATCTATCTGCCTGTTCTGCTCCCGGCTCTGTGTGATGAATCCTCTCACCATCTCCGCACCTCTGGCCTGTATCCCAGTTCTGTATACATAAATAAATAAATCTTGATAAAAGGGAACTGTAAAGAGAACTGTGGAGGTGGGGGGATGGGGAGGGTTAAGTAAACCATTATATTTGATTCCCCCGACCCCCATTCACCCCTGGCCATTTCATTGAAGGCAGGTTGGTCTTAGGTTTCCCAAATCCATAATAAATACTTTTTAAATGTCTGGCTTCTTCATCCAGTTCCATCCTTTCAACTTTATCTCAGAATGTCCCCTGATTGGGATATAGAAATAACTTCTTATTAGAAATAACTTCCTGTGTCCATAAATAGAACTTTAAAAAAATGCTATGTGAATTGAATTATTAGACATACAAACAAAAGTTCTACAATAAGGGGGGTTGTGGAAGCAGCTAGAGATTGGTTGTATCAATACAACCATTGAAAATATATATAAATTTCCTTTTTAAAGAAGAAGTATGGTTCTCTCTTTCCAACAGAAATTGTGACTTATATGAAAGGTAATAAGGGAACAAAATGAACATTTATTAGTTACCTTAGCCAGTATCACTTTTGGGATTTTCCTATATTCTCTCTTTGAATTTTCACTGTGATCCTATGGAACTGGACTTATTCTCATTTGCAGATGAGGAAACTGAGGCTCACTAAGGTTATAAAAACTTTCCATGGTTGTTTTAAAAATAGGTGGTTTAACATAGATTGAAAGCATTGTCTTTTTCCAACAGCTATTTACTCTTAATGTATTCTGACTTGACACTGTTCAGAATCAATACATTTAGCTGTTTGATTTTTCAACTTGTCAAAACTTTGGAAAAGGTTTTCTTTCTTTCTTTTTTTTTTTTTAAAGATTTATTTATTTGTACATACAGAACCGGTGTACAGGCCAGAGGCTCAGGGGTGGTGAGAGGCTTCACCAGAGACAGAGTGGGGAGCAGAACAGGCAGATTGACGAAGTACACTGCTGAAGGGAGCAGCGGGTGGGTCAGGAGAGGTCTGCCACACCATGTGGTCACCTCCGGGGCAGGCGGGAATCGAACTCATGCGGAAGTGGCTTTAGCCTCCCAGTGCAGTGCTTTAACCCGCTGCGCCACAAGGGAGGGCCCGGAAAAGGTTTTCTTTAAAAGCTGAAACATTTAGCAACATGTACCAACCTAGCATTTTTACAAATTGTAAATATTTACAAATTATGAATGAAATAGGGGATGCTGTGAGGGTTAAATTATACACCCTCTGCCCTGGCCCCCCCACCCCCCCATCCCCACAGTTCTCTTTACAGTTCCCTTTTATCAAGTATGTAAGGGTGAGATCACTAAACAAATCTATCTTCCCAACCACAAATGTTCACATTCTAAGACAACATTACTCTTGGTCTAATGTTCAATTATTCTTTTGTTCAAAAATTTAATTTAAATCTTATATCAATATTTAAACTAGATACTTCCTCAAATCTTGTGAATTTCTACAGATTTTACCCAATCTGAAAAGGCAACTTGAATCTTAATACAATCAAATTTCAATCTGAAGCCTTAATTTTAGCAAACCACAACTGGAACTAATATTTTGATTATAATATTATACTACATGCTATAATTTGATACATCTTGGTATTCCAGAAACTGATCTTTTATCAATATCTATAAGGCAAATGAGAGCGTCAAGAAGTAACTATTGATTGTTTTTGCAGTTTGGAAGTTGAGGATCTGACAAAAATGTAAAGTATAAGCCATAACTGTTTTAGTAAATGAGAATCAATCAGTTGAAAATCTAAGCTAGCAAACTTACATATACTAACGTTGTGAAATAGGTACTTGTATTAAACCCATTCTATAGATATAGAAACTAGAACTCAGAAAGTCTAAAAAACATGAAACTAGGTGGTTGAACCAGTTTGCGTCAGATACTCTTTTCACTAAACATGTATTGCTTACCTTTCCCTTAGATATCATCTCATCTCACACCAATCAAGAATCCCCATGAACCATTTCCTGGAGCTTAACCATGTCTTTGTTTTGTCACTTGAGTGTCCTTGTTAGAATGTAATATTCCCTTTCATCATCTTCTACCAAAGTTCCCCCATCCTTCAATAATATTCTCAAATCAAACTGCTTATAGAAAATTCTGCCTTTATAACCCATTGGAATTAATATTCTGATTCCATTGAATGATCAAACTAAGTCTTATCAGTCTCAAGACCCTTACTCAGAAATCATTTGGTAAATACAGATTTGAACTGAAAGGGTTGCTTTTTAATCTTTCTGTACATTAGAAAACTGACTTTTCTAAAAAGTTTTAATATGTTCTGGAGAACAGAAGTAGTTCCTGAAAAACTTAGAAAAGAGGTGCTTATAAAAGAACCTGTCATAAACTTTCTCCAATAAAAATGATTCATTACTTTAACTTCTCTATAATGTCACTACTATTTATGTAAAAAACTTGGCACAGTAAAGAAAGTTATTTATTAATGAAAAGGAATGCAGTTGATAATAATGGATTCCACTGGAAAGTTTGAATATTTAAAATATATTTTTAAAACATGAATGAAAACAAAGACAATGTAAAATTTTTATATATGCATGTATGTATGCATACATGTACCCATGTATGTGTGTATTACCATTGTCTTACAACCTTGTTAATATCGGCAGTAAAGTCATCCTCCCCAAGGTGCAGTCACCTTAGCTCGCCCACCAGGGCACCCAGAGTCCTCCACCAAAGTCTACTGGGTCCTTCCCTCTCCTCACACCACCCTCTTCCCCAGGCATCAGATATATGGCCCACTTTCAAGGGCTAGTTAGAGCAAACATGCTTTTTAAAAAAGGGCTAGTTAGAGCAAACATGCTTTCCCATCACCAAATCACCCATGGTGATGGCACATGGGTGATTTGGTGATGGGAAAGCCAAGGGGATTGCAACTGAGATGGAAATATGCACAAAAATATGTAAAAATAAACTAATAATAGTAAAAAAAAAAAGACACACTGATTTAAAGATCAAATACAGCTTCATCATATTGAAAGTGTGATAAAACCCACCAGGAGTCTGATGACTCAGGTCTGCTTTCAAAGGACAAGCGAGTGGTTGCATATTGTGGAATTTCCTCTGACCTAATGGAAGAATGAGGGTGCACATGTTCCTCACTGTTGCGATAATATAAAAAGCCACAAGAGTCTCATCCAACTCAAGTGCTCTAGGACAGCAGAGTTCACAGACTCTAGGACTAGAGCCAGCTAGAGACAGCGCCTCCTGCAAACATGATTTCCAAGCTGACTGTGGCTTTTCTGACAGCTGTTGTGCTGGCTGCTGCTCTGTGTGAAGGTGAGTATATTCATCTGAACTTCAGAGTTTTCCTGTGTCTGAATGTGATCCTTCGAAAGCAAGATGAACCTCTTCACTGTTTTGATGACATCCTTTTTATTCAGAAAATGCAATCTTTTCTTGTTAAAGTGAAATTTTAAATTTTTTAGTCCCTCTTTGTAAGATATTTTGAAAAGTATAGCTTTTGATTAATACAGACTTTCTGGTTCAGTCACTCAGATTCTTCTTTGTGGCATGCATATATTTAATATAATTGTGCAATTTAGAGTAGATCTTAGAGTATAGAAAGCCATGCTATCTATTACTGTTGAGCAAGTTAAGTCAAGTGATTTTACTCCATGCACCATTCTATTGATAATCATCAATTTCTATTTGAGTTAAATATATCTGATAGATTATAGATCTTCTTGGGTTCCATCCTATGAAACAAGGTAGTTTGGAATATTTATGGCATATGTTTTATAACTTTTTCTTTTCTTTTAAGTATTCAGGATTTTACCAAGATAAAAGTCATCTTTGTACAATTCATTTATTTCTAGTAATTACTTTTCAAGGCTTTCTCTGTTGACGAATCTTAGTTTGCAGACTATAAATAGCATCACAGTGGATTAAACAGTATCAGGTAGAATAAAAAGTACTTTGAGGATGTGCACCAAGTTTTTATATAGAAAATCATTCAATTTATTCATTCAGTGCACTCATTCAAATCATTCAAATATCAAAACAAAGAAAAAATGTGAAGTCAGGGGTTAGGTGAATGTTAGCCTTCAACTTCAGGAATGAATTTGCTAAAACTGTGGTATATACCAAACACACAGTCAGTAAATCATTGTATGAGAATTAAAGAGGGAGGAGCTAGCGCATCTGTGCCTGTTGATGAGATCAGTTCTTAATGGTTTCTATTTTGTTTTTCACAGCTGCTGTTCTGCCAAGACTTAGCACAGAACTTCGATGCCAGTGCATAAATACTCACTCTAAACCTTTCCACCCCAAGTACATTAAAGAACTGAGAGTGATTGAGAGTGGACCACACTGCCCAAATTTAGAAGTCATGTAAGTACTTTCAAGAATGATTCATAGAAATAGCCAACATTACTGTATATATTTTACTTTAATAAATCTAGATTGAAAAGGTGAAAATAACCAAAAAAAGTTCTATGGCATAGGAATAAAAATAACCAAAAAAGTTCCAGGGCATTGTGAGCAATGTGAAATAGAGAAAATTCTTTGCAAGTTCTTTGAATATGATACTTTCCATGCCTCACTGCCAAATTTTGCTTTGGACTTAGGTTTAATGCCTATCTTAAGAGAACCATAACTTAAATGGCAAAAATATGCTTGAAACCATTAAATAATAATTTTAATTCTATCTCATTTCAGTGTAAAGCTCCATAATGGACAAGGTGCTTGTCTGGACCCCAAGGAAAAGTGGGTGCAGACACTTGTGCAGGCCCTTTTGAAGAGGTGAGTTTTAAAATCTTGACTATTTTTAAAATTAAAAAATTTTGTTTATTTATTCTGAGACAAATAGCCTAAAAGTCAGACTATAAACTTCTTGCTACTGCTGTAAATCTTCTCTTTGATTTGAAATAAAAGGAAAAAAAATAGTTTGTACCTATAGCTGGGAACATCTTTCAAAATTTCAGTTTGTTCAGGGAAATCTGGCTGTGTGCTTGTGTATGCCGTGTTTTGGGTTATTAGCGTGGTTCGTGTAAGACAGTTAATTTCTATGTTGAATGTATTTTCAAGAACCATAAGATTCTCTTTATTAGAGAATTGCTAATTTATTTAAATTTTTATTTTGTTTTCAGAGCTGAAAAACAAGATTCATGAGAAAAACGCATTCACCATGGTTTCCAAGAATTTGCCACTAACTATGCCAATGAAATTTTAAACATATCTACTTCAACTTTTCATGCACTGTGTGGGGTTTGTTAGGGTTGCCAGGTAAAATACAGGATGTCCAGATAGGAATTTCAGTAAAACAATGATTTTTTTTTTCAATGTCCCATGGACGTTGTCTGTGCAATATCTAGGACACACTTATTTTTAAAAATTATTCATTTTTTTTACTATAGTTACAAATTTAGCTGGAAATCCTCTTTATTATTTTTTTGTTGTTAAACCTTGCAACCTTGGTCTGCTGGTCACAATCCATCTAACTCTATTCAACTCCAGTTTCTTCCTTATTCCTAAGCTAAAGAAAAAGTACCATCCTACCTCACACTGATGTGAGAAATGTAGAGATACTTTAATTTTATTCATGGTCATGGAAATGGTTTTCAAGTGTAACTTATTCACTATTTATTATTTATATATTTATTTAAGCATAAATATAATCATATTTATGCATGAATTTGGGAAATCAGGAAAGAGAGCATCCTTGACAGAAGAGTATAATGATAGTGAATTTATAGTTATTTTGGAGATTAATTATGTTATATGAGACATCTATTTTGATCAGGATTGTCATATTTAGCAAAATTAAGACAAATGGGGCACCCAGTTAATTTTACTTTTGGTAACCAGTGGATTCTTTTTTAGTATTAATACATCATTTTTATCTGAAATTTTAGTTGAATTGGCAAATAACAAAAATTCACCAGACAATATTAACATAGCAATTTCTTGCTGGTAAAACTGATGCATTATATACAAGTAAATTTGCATAATTTAATTTAAATTATTGTGTTTTTTAAATCCTGACTTTTGTTTGACTTTAAGATGCTTTTATGTGTTCCTAAAAGGATATTTTTAGTGTTTCTTATAGCCCAGAAATATAAATATCTAATGTAACTAAAAAACATTTAAAATAAAATTTATTGTTAAAGTGATTGTATGTTTGTCTTTCTTTAGAAGTTTATTGGGCGTCTCTTTGTTTACATTAAAAATCATGCACTTTAGAAAGCATTACTGCTTTCCCTTAGTGTTTTGTATTTTAGGTGGAAAATTTAAACTATTATATGTGAAAAAAACAGAACACATTTCCAGAAATGAGTTAGAACAATAGTCTTTTCCCAAGAGTGTTAGAAAATTTCTCAAGGCACCACCATTGGCTACCATTTTCTAATAAGTCTGACTTCGGAATGTCAATCAACCAGCCCATGTGTGTAGACAGCTTAGCACAGCAGGGTATTCAGTGAAAGAGGGAAGGGTTACATGTTATAAAGCCCTTCCTAGCAAATTCAGGAATAAAACTGATACATTATATACAAATATATTTTACATAAAAAACATATGAGGTGGGCCCTCCCTGGTGGCGCAGTGGGTTGAACACTGCACTAAGAAGCTGAAACCAATTCCGCATGAGTTTGATTCCCGCCTGCCCCGGAGGTGACCACATGGCGTGGCAGACCTCTCCTGGCCCGCCCGCTGCACCCCTCACAGTTTACTTCGTAGATCTGCCTGTTCTGCTCCCCACTCTGTCTCTGGTGAAGTCTTTCGCCACTCCTGAATCTCTGGCCTGTACCCCAGCTCTGTATGCACAAATAAATAAATCTTCAAAAAAAAAAAAATTAAAAAAAAAAACATATGAGGTTTATCACAAATTAGACATAGCTGAAAAGAAAACTAGAGAGCTAGGAAATAAAACCAAAGAACTTAACCTAGACATCATATCAGAGGGATAAGTAGGTTGTAAATTGCAAGAAGGAAATGCAACAACATGGAGAATAAAATGAGAATGTCTTATCAATGTCTAGCTGTAGTTTCACAAAGAGTCAGAGATAATAGTTGATGTAAAAATGGCTAAAAACTTCTAGAAAGAAAATAACCCCCAATTTCAAGAAATTCAGTTTACCAAGGCTTACCTCCACATATCTAGTCAAAAACCAAGAATCTTAGAACTTTGATTTACATTTATCCATCTTCTAGCTTTATATACTGATGTTGGTTATTTCAAATTCACCTTTTCATTTTTTAATTCTACAATGTGGAATGAGGAATAGTCCCCTTATTAGTTAGTTCATATTGCAACCTGTCAGTTCTTCCTTAGAATCACTCTGGGTGCCGAGAGCTGCTATTTCTTTTATGGACCAGAATTTGTCCTACAGCATCATACTGTCTTCTTTTTTTAAGATTTATTTATTTATGCATACAAGAGCTGGGGTATATGCCAGAGGTATGGGCACGAAAGGAGGGTATGAGAGGATTCATCAGATTCAGAGTAGAGAGCAGAACAGGCAGATGTATTGAAATCCACTGCTGAGGGGAGCAGCAGGTGGAACATGAGAGTTCTGCCACACCATGTGGGTCAGCTCTCTGCGCGGGGATCAAACTCATGCTGCAGTGGCTGTGGATAGCCTCATAATGCTGGTCTTAACCCATTGTGTCATTAGGAAGGCCCCGAACTTATTGTCTTTTCTAATCCTCATTGTGCCTTATCAGAAGTGTGAAGTATAATAGAATTAACAAAAGATTCACGAGTGATACATAGGAAAGAACCAACTAGAAGTTCAACTCCAGTGTCACTATTCCTACAAACACTGTTTCCCTCTAAAGATTATTCCTTCCTGCTGAAGTATCTTCTCAGGACATGTGTGACCTCTTATTCCTCAGAGTTCTGCCTAATTTTTGTTTCTATATTCTCCTTTTCTGGATTCCTGTTCCCTTATGTCATCCCCTTTGCCATCTCTCATTTTGTGGATCTCACACATATTGAGTAAAATAAATAAGAAACAACTTTAATTAAATGCTGATAAAAGAAATACAGGAAGCAGCTAGCATAGGCTTCCCTCAGAAAATCTACACTAGCGTCTAAAGAATGAGTAGGAGTTAGCCACACAAAGAGAAGCAGGATGTGAGGAAGAGCAGTGTAGGTGGCAGGGGAGGTATAATTTATGGACAAGGGCTATCCATTTATAGATTTGGGAAATGAGACTACCACAATCTCGCATCCTATACACAAGTTAACGAAAACTGGTTGAAAGACTTAAATGAATACTTGAAATCATAAAATACATAGAATTAGACAAAGGAAAGGCACTACATATCAGCTTCAGGGACACCTTTGTAGATTCTTTCCAACAGCCAGAGGATTAAGAGAGAATATAAACAACTGGGATTATATAAAACAGAAAAACTTCTGCACGGTGGAACACCCCTGACTGAGTGGAAGAACATACTTGCACCCATGTATCTGATAAGTCTCGGATATCCAAAATCTACAAAGAATGCATACTGCTCAGCAAAAAGAAAACAAATAGGCCCTCCCTGGTGGCACAGTGAGTTAAAGCGCAGCATGGAGAAGCTAAAGCCACTTCCGCATGAGTTCCATCCCCGCCTGCCCAGAGGCGACCACAAGGTGGGGCAAACCTCTCCTGACCCGCCCGCTGCTCCCCTCAGCAGTGTACTTCATGGATCTGCCTGTTCTGCTCCCAGCTCTGTCTCTGGTGAAGCCTCTAGCCACTCCTGAGCCTCTGGCCTGTATCCCAGTTCTATATGCACAAATAAATAAATCTTAAAAAAGAAAAGAAAAAGAAAAAACAAATAACCCAAAGCAAGAGGAAGAAGGACCAAATAGGCACTTCTTTGAAGGACACGAAATTGCTCATCATCACTGATTATCAAATAAACACATGTCCAAACCACAATGAGATACTGTTTCCCACCAGTGAGAAGGACCCATATCAAAAATACCAGGATGTGGAGAAAAAGGAGCTCTCATACATTGTTGGTGGAAATATAAATTGGTCTATCCCCATATGGGAAGCAGTTTGGAGCTTTTTCAAAACATTAAAAATAAATCTACCATCTGAAGCAGTGATCCCACCCCTTTGTAACACTATTTCAAATGGATACACACACACACACGATTATATATATATGTATACACACACACACATATTCCTTTACTCATTGTAGCACAATTTAGTCAAGCCATGGAAACAAACTACATGCTCAAAGACAGATGTGCTTAGAAGATGTGGTGTATAAACACAATGGAATACTGCTCAGATAAAAGTATTCTTGCCACTTAAGACAACATGCATAGAACTGGAGGAAAGTTATGGTACACAAACTAAGTCAGAAGGACAAAGACAAACACTGGGTGGTTTCACTCATATAGAATACAGAGAAACAAAACAAAGGGTTAGATAAAACCAAACCAATAAAAGCCCCTGAAAATCTGAGTTTTTCTGGAGGAAAGGGATTAAATTTCAGCACTATGAAACTCACCAGCCACTGCAGCATGAGTTTGATCCCCAGCCAGGTACCTCTCCTGTCTCACCTGTAGCTACTCTCAGCAGTGTATTTCAGTAGATCTGCCTGTTCTGTGAGTCCTTCAACCCCCACCACCTCTGGCTAACACCCCAGTGAACGCATAAGTATATAAAGTAAACACACACACACACACACACATACACACAAAGGGCCCTCCCTGGTGGTGCAACGGGTTAAAGCACAGAACTAAGATGCTAAAGCCACTTCAGCATGAGTGCAATCCCCACCTCAGAGGTGACACACATGGCACGGCAGACCTCTCCTGACCCGCCTGCTGCTCCCCTCAGCAGTGTACTTCATCGATCTGCCTGTTCTACTCCCCACTCTCTCTGTGGTGAATTCCCTCACTGCTCCTGTGCCTTTTGTCTGCACTCCAGTTCTGTATGCATAAATAAATAAATCTTTAAAAAAATACACACAAAAACCTGGTTGTAGAATAATTGCTACTAGCGGGTATAAATGGTGAGGGTGCTCAATGAACTCTGGTGGATGATTATTGGTGCTTGGGTGGTGAGTATGGGTAGTATATATCTGAAAAGATGTTATGTTACCTATACCCCTAAATCCTATACAGTGTTGTAAACCAATGTTATCTCAGGAAATAAAATACAATTAAAACATTTAAAAAAATAACAATCTATGCAGCTGTACTATTTGAATTAATGAAATTTGTGTTCACAGACCAAGCTTATTTTATGAGCTTTCTGTTATAAAAGCTTTCCTCTGAAGTGAAAATTAAATAGCATCCTCTAATCTTTGTATTGAAAAACACAAAACTTAGTGCAGAAAAAGAAACTAAATCATGTTCAGTGTTGTTAATCTTGTTGCTTCAATATAAAGAAAAATGTGAAAGATAACAAATAACTAACTAAAGGGAGAATGCATAGCCCCCACCTAAGAACAATTCCAAGTAGTTTATGTAGATCTGCCTTCCTCAAGGAGGTATTTGTAACTTATCTATGAACTCCTAAAGTGTGAGCAGCTCATACAGACTTCATTCCAAAGAACACTATATAGAAAGGGAAAAAGGTTTGTTTACAATAAACAAACCTGGAAAACACTAGGGATGGCCAACATTAACATTATCAGTGATAAGTTATATTGATATAATGTAATGATGTAATGCAAGTGGCACTTTATCCCTGGGATCTTTCTCCATTATCTCAGTCTAACTATGAGTAAACCATCAGAAAAATTCCAATAGATACCCATCTACAAAAGTCCCTAATCTGTTCTCAACAAGGAAATTCTGAGAAACTCTTTCACCTATGAGGAGTCTAAGAGGGCATGACAACTAAATGAAATGTATCCTTGATTGATTCTAGAACAGGAAAATGACAATCAGTAGAATTTAAGAATACAGGAATAAAATAAAGACTTGGGTTGATATTATTTATTTGGTGCAGGCTTTTATAAAAAAAAAAAGTATTATAGACCGGGTGGCTTTAAATAAGGAACATTTATTTTTTCTAGTTCTGGAAGTTAGAAGTCCTGGATTTATGCCAGCAAGGTCTGATTCTAGCGAGGTTCCTTTTCCAGGGAGCAGT